GTGACGACCCTGGGCTGGACTCCGCTTCGTCCACGGTGAAAGCCGATCCGGCGATCCACAGCACTAAGTTGATGTATTCCCTCTTTTGGAAGGCCAAACAAAGTAGTTTCGCTTTCACAACGAAGCACACAGTGTCTTCACGAAATGTCGGCAGCGGCAACAACAATACTACAGCGAGAATAAAAGTTACGCCTTCTTTCTTTGATTGAACATTTGGGCGGCGTTATGCAAATCTTCCCACATAGTGAGGTAGATATGTGGGGGCGTGTTAGAATGAGCTGTTTTAGGTAGGTGTGGCTAACTCATAACTTTTATAAAGAATATCTCTTTGGATTTGAGACTTTAGTCTTTGCAACTTTACAGATCTTCTTTATGCACCAAGAGCTTGTAACACTCCAAAGAGAAAAGAAAAATTGAAATCGCATCATATGACCCCTTTAAGTTGCCAGTATTCTGACAAATAATGCTGACTCACAGTCTGTAAGTATGTTTTCATATTTAAAGAATTTGCCACTGACGATTCAAACGCGAGTTTTGAGCAGTGTAGAGTAGCACTTGTTGTTTGTCATTTCTCCGATCACAAATGCAGACATGGTTTTATGTTTACACGGCGCGATGCGACGCAATGCGTAAAAAGACAGTACAAGTCATTATAATCCGTAATTATGTCCCCACTGGATGCAGCAAATGCTTCGTTTATAATGGGTTTTAATGCTTTTGTCTCGTCGCTCCGGCCGGACAAGGCATCACAATATGGCAAGGGGCGTAACATTTCCATCACACGCTTGAGGTATTCGGCCAATCACAACGCACTGGATAGCTGGCCAATCACAGCACACCTCGCTTTTCAGACCGATGAGCTTTGTAAAAATCAACACGTTTCAGAAAGGCGGGGCATAGAGGAGCAACAATAATGTACAGTATGTGGAAAATAATGTTTTTTTTTTAACCTTAAACTGCATAAACACATTTCATTACACCAAATACACAAAATAATGTTATTTTTTAGCAACGTCATATGACCCCTTTAATTGATTCTATCTAAACATTATTATTAATTATTTAATTAATAATTATTTTGTTATCTTTTTGTCATGAGGATCTTGGGATGGTCCAAGACGTTGTAAAAGAAGTTTGAAAAAGTGTTGTTGTTTTTTTCCCCCCCAGAAAATTCAAAATGGTGAGAAAAAAAATGGCCAGGGGCTAATAATTGAATTACTGGAGTTATTCTCTACAAAACAGTTATAAATCCAAAGGAAACAAAAGAATATTGATTTAAGCCCTAATGGTTCACGTCTGGCGGATATGTGTGGGTATGTCTGAGTTGTGGGGTGGATTTAGAACCATCCCACAAATTTGCGATCTCTACAGTTTATGGTATCTGATGCCCACACACATCTGGGTCAGAAAACCTTCAGTGCTTAGACTGCTAAATATTGATGGATTATATTATTATTGTAAAGGTGGTTTCACTCTCGCATCAACAGAACAGGCAAGAATAAAGAAAACAAAACCTGTTCTTCTGATGTGGGAGATGCCCCAATAAAGATCTTTTGATAACATGTGTTTGCATCCCCAAAACTAGGTGTGTGACCTTTTGGGTTACAAGATCCTAAACAAACCAAAAGGTATTTTTTTGCTTTTACAACTGATTTGAAGATTTCTTTGTTCTGGTCTGGGTATTTAAGCGAAGTGGCAAAACATTACGTCGCGATTCTGTAGCCAGAAAGCCCGTAGTGTGGTGTGTGTCTCTGCACTCCATACTATGTATTTTCCAAGGTGAGGTATGCACTTTTTACTCGTAGACTCATCTTTGAGAATGTGATGTCTTGTATTGATTTGATATCTTTGAATTGACTATGTAATTGGCATAATACATATTTACCTGACTGATAATAAACTGTTACATTAAATTTTATTCTGACTTACTCTGAAATTATTTCTAGTAAATTAAAGTGGAGTCTAGTAGTAGAACTGACGAGTTTGTGTTTGTGAGACTGTGTTCGGCCAGCGTAAGTTCTCTGTGCGATACTGGGTCCCTAATGAACGAATAACTGAAAGTACAGGATGTTCGGAATAATCAAATATCTAAATTAATACATAATCGACATTTGTGATCGGTTTTTAATTAGAAACATTGCCTAAATTTAATGATCACTTGAAATTGGAGTCAGATTGAACACGGAGCTAGACTAAAATTGAAACTAAATCCTGATAAATTCAGGCATAATACATATTTACCTGACTGATAATAAACTGTTACATTAAATTTTATTCTGACTTACTCTGAAATTATTTCTAGTAAATTAAAGTGGAGTCTAGTAGTAGAACTGACGAGTTTGTGTTTGTGAGACTGTGTTCGGCCAGCGTAAGTTCTCTGTGCGATACTGGGTCCCTAATGAACGAATAACTGAAAGTACAGGATGTTCGGAATAATCAAATATCTAAATTAATACATAATCGACATTTGTGATCGGTTTTTAATTAGAAACATTGCCTAAATTTAATGATCACTTGAAATTGGAGTCAGATTGAACACGGAGCTAGACTAAAATTGAAACTAAATCCTGATAAATTCAGAGGTGCAAGTAAAAGACCGAACACGCATTCAACCTTCAACCAGGCCGCTGGACTCCAAATTTTGGGCCGTCGGGTGGATTCTTACATTGTTATATTATGGAAATTCTCAAAGAGAATTGGAATAAAATATGTGCTATGTCTTAATAATGTTCTTGTTGGTCAGATTTGGGGAAAAAATGGTGTTGATGACCAGTGTTGGGGGTAACGCATTACAAGTAACGCAAGTTACTTAATCAGATTACTTTTTTCAAGTAACTAGTAAAGTAACGCATTACTTTTTAATTTACAAGAGAATATCTGAGTTACTTTTACAAATACGCAAGTTACTTTTTTTCCTCCAATTTATTGATTGACAGCTCTCCTGTCCCCATGTTGAGAGAAATCAGAAGATGTTACTGTAGTTCTAAAATAAATTTGAATATGCATTAATTCATCTCACTCACACACAAAAAACACTCAGATTCAGTATTCCTCAAAATTTATAAAAATAAGGCAACTCAGAATATGACGCAAACCTGCAATAATTAAATGTTAAACAACACAAATATCCTTTATGTATTTAATCCCATTCTATTAACCAATGTCTTTGCTTCTGACCTTCGATGATCCAGTTCAACCGTACTAATAAGCACAAATTACTCTAGACAAACATTTGTGTGTCTTTTTTACTGCTGAAGGGTGTTGACATTTCTTCTTCTGCATTCTACTGTACGGACGTACATTTAGTTTCCCTTCAGCCTGAGGCTTATTCATTTCACTTTTGGTGTGAAAAGGCTTTTATATTTGCCAAAAATATAACTTTTTTATTTTAAAAACAAACAAGCAAGCCCTGTCCAGATTTAAAAAGTAGCGCAAAAGTAACGTAATGCATTAATTTCCATAAAAAGTAACTAAGTAACGTAATTAGTTACTTTTTTTATGGAGTAATGCAATATTGTAATGCATTACTTTTAAAAGTAACTTTCCCCAACACTGTTGATGACACATACAAATTATATTATAACCATCTGTTGAAACACTGTTGCTACAGAAAGTTAACAAAAATCATAGAATTGCTTTAAGACTTTTATAGAGTATTTTAACAGGTTAATCCACTCACCCTCTTGATGAATTTTCTGCTGCAGCTCTTTTATTTTACTGTCCATTTTGCTAATTTGAGCCTCTAATTCAAGCCTAGATGTCTTCTCTTGTGCTTTCATGTACATCTGAAGTGAATAGGGTTTCAAATTAATCATCTCTATACATTCCAACAGGTCAGAGATCTGTTTGGTGCTTCTGTGGTCTTTCAACCCCATCACACTGTACCAAGTCCCATAGAGACTGACAATGTTTTGAGATTGTGTGGATGTCACAAAATGTGTCACTTTTTGGTCAACAGAGAATTCTGTGGTGAAAAGCACCATGAAGTGCTCTTTGGAGTAAAATATCTTATGTATCATCTCAATTTCCATTTTGTCTACATCAGTAATTGGCCCAATAGGAATAATGAGAAGAAAAAGATGAACTCTAGAATCACAAAGAGACACACAGCGGAGAGTTTGATTTATCACTTCATCCTCCGAGAGCTTGGTGAGAGCTGGAAGCTCCACTACAGTGATGTGCCGTCCATGTATCTTCTCCTCTTTTTTCACACTCACTAAGGTAGACTCTCTGTGAAATACTGATAAAGGTTTCCCTCGTAAAATTTTGGACACGGTGGCCTTAAGTTTTTCATCATGTCCACACAGAACCAAGTTCAATTTAGCTTTTCCAGGAACAGTTGCTGAAAATTAAAACACTTTAATAAACATTAAACTTAGCCCAAACTTTGGTATTTTAAAATGTTCCTTAAACAACAACAGTATACATAATATTTTATTATACAATATTCTTAGAAATTACAATATTTTTTTACTTATGTGAAATGAACTGATGCATTGCTTGGAATAGTTTATCGACTTACAATTTGGGTGAATGTACTCTGGGCTTTGCTCTCTTTTACTCCCTATAAAAAAAGAAAAAATGCATGACAATGTACACATAGACTACACTGTAAAAAATGACCGTGAATTTAACGGTAAAAGACTGTAAAAATGCTACAGTAAAAACCTGTTAAATGGTTAACAGTAAATTCCCCTACTATATACGGAGAAAAACTGTATTGGACATTACATGTATTGGACATACGTTTTACGGTAGTATACCGTTTTTGGAAGTGAAAAATACCGTATAATTTAAAGTGAATAACCGTAAATTGACATTCCCAGAATTCCCTTCGTTATATTTCAAATTTTATGTTTTTGGTTAAAATAACTATGTTTCTTCTTAGTTTTTTCTTATCAGTTTTGTATATTAGGGTTGTGTGTTACACCTAATGTTGTTAAATGAATGTTTATAGCATTATTTCAGTTTCATGTGTGTTACCATGATGGTGTTTGGTGGTTGTGTGAATGACACTGTGCACCTTCTATATATGTTATTATTTAAAAGCTGCTTGTGATGGGCTTTGGTTCATCATGTGACTTTCTCATCACCACCTGCATTTGGTGGTTATCAGTGTATTACAAAGGTACAAAACAGATTTCAGTATTTCAATAAGTTGGTATATTAACATTATATCAGTTAATGAAATTACGGTATTTAACTGTAAATTTAAGTTAAAACCGTAAAACCTAAAATGTTGCTACCGTATTTTTTACGGTAAAATTCCGGCAACCACAGCATCCCGTTTTTTACCGTAAATTTTACGGAATTTTTTTTACAGTGTGGGTCTGTAATTTGCCAGTTCATCTACTGTGCTGCTGTATTTTTTACAGGAATTCTCTGGTAACCACAGCTGCCAGCGTTTTCCTGTAAAAACAACAGTTTTTTTTACAGTGTATATAAACCCACTCTACATTTTGTAGAGCAGAAATGTCCAATTCTGCTCCATGGCTGCATTCCACTTTAAATGGAACCCATGTGTTTTATTTGTATGCCTAATATGTCGAAAACACATCTGTATGCCTAATTGTCTCATCACATTCAGTAAGGAATTAGGAATTACGTAAATTATTAAATTGTATTTTTTAAATTCAGAATGATCATATTTGAGAAAAAAAATTATTAGTTTGCATCACTGGATATTACTGTTTGTGATTTAACAATTCTATTGTAAAACAGTTGTCAAATATTAAATGTTTCGCTACTTCCACCTTGCTCCCTTTTCAGCATTAAAACGGACACTTCACTTTGGAATCTGCTTCTATAAACTGTAGATCTGGCCTGCTTTGATTTGAATGGTCATATCAATAATTTTGACACTGATGAGTGCTTTTAGACTGCTGAGGCAGACCAGGCTAAAATATAAAAATCTATAAAAAATAATAAACCTTTAAACCTTTTTGTCATCCTAAGTGTGTAATGTGCACTGTGTAATTGAGTGCAACAGAGCAGTGCAAGAATTTACAATATAGGGGGGACAATTTGGCCATTTCTAATTATTGGAAGGGACATGTTCCAGCTAATCAAGGTCTTCTGGGGGCTGTTTCATAAAAGATGCTAAGAAAACCGGGGATTAAAGTCCAAAACCTGACTTGAAATAACCTAACAAATCAATGGGGACTAAAGCGGTTTCTTAAACGACTATTTAATTTCATGCAATCTCACTAATTCGATCCAGCCTCAATGAGTCAGGATAATTTGATATGCACGCTTATTCTTAAAGGTTTAGCTGGACGTATGCATAGCATACGTAGCGTATGCTGTCCTGTGTCAGCTGCGTCACGCCGGATCTGTTTCCTACGTTGTTGTGATTTGATCTGAACGGAAACAGGGTATCCGTGTGATGCAGCTGACACAGAGCAGCATACGCTGTTTACGTCCAGTGGATATTCTCCAAAATGGCACCAGGGTGATGCGGAGGAGGCGAATTGTTGAATAAAGTCGTTTTTTTTTTTTTTGCACACAAAAAGTATTCTCGTAGCTTCGTATAATTGCGGATGAACCACTGATGTCACATGGATTATTTTACAGATCTCCTTGCTACGTCTCTGGACTTGGGAACATTTCAGTTGCGTTGCTGTGTATGCAGGGTCAGACAGCTCTCAGATTCTATCAAAAAATCTTAATTTGTGTTCTGAAGATGAACGAAGGTCTTATGGGTTTGAAACGACATGAGGGTGAGTAATTAATGACAGAATTTTCATTTTTGGGTGAACTAACCCTTTAAGCAGCCCTTAATGTTGATCATGGATCAAATCGATCCACCATGGCAAACAACTAATATTTGTTCTGTTTAATGCGTTTGAGATGTTGTGTTTTCCTCAGTGCATAACTGACACGTCACAGGTATGTTTTTCATCTGTAAATGTTAGAAAGTCATGCAAATATATCCATTTTTCTGTCAGGAGTGGGCAAGGCTTATGAGAGTGAACTAGCGCTGCTGCGCGCTAAACATATGGATGCATGTTAAAAGCATGTTAAAATGTTTTCATATACTGTATCTTTAAAAAATAAAAAAGGTCATTACATTTTGGGCACAATATATTAAATGTTATTGGTTGTAGCCTATTTTTTATTTATTTGATTATTCAAGTTGCATTTTCTGTATATGAAACCAAATCAAGAGAAAATAAGTCAGACTAACTGAAATAAGACTGGCTTATTTGGTAAACTTGTTTTATGAAACAGCCCCCAGGATTGCTAGCCTATGTTGTCCATGCCAGTGTTGGAGCAGGTTGGAGCTTAATCCTGTAGTGGCCCTTTAGGAGCTGGATTAGACATTGGATAGCTGGAAGGAAGGAAAGCCATACAGTTTGGATGACATGAAAGTAAATAAATTTACTGTATTTACTGTACTTTATTAACTTACTTTTATTTACCCTCATATCACCCAAACTGTATGGATTTCATTCTTCCATGGAAAACAAAAGGAGATGTTTAGCAGAATACTCAAATCTGCACATCCTACCTATACTATACTATCCCATTCCATCCATTTTTAAATTCTGAATGTCATTAATGTAATATATATTTGAAAAACATTGCACTATAATAATAATGATACATAGTGCGGCTTTTGGTGAAGCCGTGAGTGCAATATGTCTGTAAGTATTCCTCAAACTGTCTCTAAAGAATGTTATAAGACTGTCTTCTGCTGACATCGGTTTGTCATTAAACCAACATCTGACACCCTATTTGTAATATATACTGTGCACTATTTCTACCCTAAATAGGTATGGACATATTTTTAGGGTAGTGTTCTGTTTTGAGTTCCCTTTTCCTGTATTTATTTCCTGTCTTCCTTAGTTGACCTAGTTTCCTAGTTTGTTACAACAGATACCTATTGCAGTGTTTCCCAACCACTGGTGTGCCATGGAAAATTATCCAAACGTCCTATTTCTATTATATTTCATTAATATATAACCTGTAAGTTGATGAAAACATAATGCGATGCACTTACTGCCTCAGATGCAGCCGTTCTATTTACGGACAAAACACATATTGCCGTCATTCACTGGTACCAACTCTGACGGTGCAGTACTTAATTATTTTTAAAAAATAAAGGGAAATGTTTTTACATTTCCTGAAAGTGGTAGTGGGTTTTGGACATAAAAGGTTTCCGCCCGACAGTGACGATATGTGTTGTTTTATCATCACCAACAAAATAAAGCTACCTATGACCCTTGTGTCTCTACCCTACATAAGCTCAAGTTAGTGTCCCTATTTGGTTTAGTCCCTTGTCTGTTCTTACGTCTATTTTAGAGTTTGTTCTGTTTCTGTGTGTAATAATAATTTATTTGTGTGTTTGTCCTTTTATTATTAGATGTGTTGTACTTTTATCACTATGTAGTTTCATGTTTAGATACAGTTGAGGTCAAAAGTTTACATACAGTACACCTTGCAGAATCAGAATTATTTTACCAAAATAGGAGGGATCATACAAAATGCATGTTATTTTTTTATTTAGTACTGACCTGAATAAGATATTTCACATAAAATATGTTTACATATAGTCCCCAAGGGAAAATAATAGTTGAATTTATAAAAATGCCCCAGTTCAAAACTGTCCCGAACAGTTAAACTCCCTGCTGTTCTTCAGAAAAATCCTTCAGGTCCCACAAATTATTTGGTTCCCCTTCAGGAACTCGAGCTGCGTCGAAACGATATGGGAACGCCTTCAGCGTGACCACACTCTGAATCACGTGTGTAATCAGTCCAATGGATGGGCGAGACGTCACGGGCCTTCACCAGCGTTCCTTGCAGTGCTGGCCCCGCTTTTGCTGAGGCAAAGCGGCGGTTGCACTCATGGGGATCGCAAATGGATCTCGAGTCCCTTTCTTCTTCCTCACCCACCAGATCCAGCGCTCTCTCTCTCTGGGTTCGGAAGCCCGCACTGTGGTTTCTTCCTCCCGGCGAGAGGGCTCAACGCTCCGCCTGTCTTCCACCGAGGAGGTTGTGGAGGGCTTCGATGAGGCTGAGGATTCGCCCCCTCAGTCTCCCCAGTGTGAGGAGTGGTAACTCGTGCTGTGGCCAGATTAAACATTGATGGGCCTGCCAAGAAACAGGTTGAACCACAGTAAAGTAAGCTAGATGAACACTTTCTGCGTATTAGGCCGCTACCTCCATGCCGGGGCCTCCCGTTCTTCGGCGAGACCTTTTTCAGCCCGGATCTTCAGCCCCTCTTCCAGCCACTATTCATGTGGTGGAGATGGGGGATCAGGGCTACAGAGCGATGCCTCGGGTTGAGCAGACGCTTGCGGGCTATCTGTCTCCCAGCACAGCATCGTCTCTGAAGGCCCCAGCATTGCCCTCTAGCTGCTGCGGACCTCCTCAGCGCTGGTGGGCAAAGGCTACATAGCGGGTCAGGTTGGTGTTTGTCTGCACACCATGGTGGTGTTACAGGCATACCAGATGGACCTGCTGAAGGAGCTAGATGATGATCTCTAGCTCCGGGGGCTGCTGGGTGGGAGCAGCTCCACCCGTGTGCCGACTCCTCATACCGGGACCAGCAGAAACAGAGCGTTGCCTCTCGTGCTTCTCCGCAATGAGAAAGAGAGCCCCTGTGGTGCTCTAAGTTGGGGTCTTCTAAGTCGAAGCCAGATCTGCAGACCACTCTTTTGACTAGGAAGACCTCGACAAAGAAGCCCTGACGGTCATGTCCCAGGGCTTCTGAGGGCAGGCTCCTCTGGGGAAGAGTGGTGTACAACTCATCATACGGTGCCCATCTCTCCTCAGTGCCCTCAGGAGATCGATCTGTCAACCCTGCCGGTGTTTCAGGGCACAGCGGTCTCCAGCGAGCACTACTTTCAGTATCTGCCCGGAAACATATCAGTTCTGGGGGGCTCGCTACCTCCAAGGAGGTCTCTAGAGCAGCTAGTTCCTCCATCCCCTGCCGGTCCTCTGCTTCAGGGCACCGAGCTAGCCGCTCTGGTTACACCAGAGGTCAGTCTCGAGAAACTGAGTCCCTTAGTAGACTATTTGGCAGTGTGGAAGCTTCTGCCAAATGTGTCATGCACACATGGGTCCTGCACACTGTAGAAAGAGGCTACAGAATCCAGTTCGGTTCTCCGCCGCCTCGTTCCAACAGGGTACTTACCACTTTGGTGGGCCCTGAGCAGGCTCTGGTAATGGAACAGGAAGTAAATATTCTCTTGAGGAAGGAGGCCATCGAGGTGGTCCCTCCTCACCACAGAGATTCCAGGTTCTACAGCCGGTACTTCATAGTTCCAAAGAAGGATGGGGGTTGCGTCCCATTTTAGATCTGTATCAGTTGAACTGCTCAGTCATGAGACTGAAGTTCAGGATGCTCACACTCTACAGGTCCTGTCTCAGATCAGGTCCGTGGACTGGTTTGTCACGGTAGATCTAATGGACGCATACTTCCATGTTTCCATCCTTCCCCAGGAAGTGGTTTGCTTTTGGGGGCAAAGCTTACCAATATCCGGTTCTTCCATTCGGCCTTGCACTCTCACCCCGTACTTTCACCAAGTGTGTGGATGCTGCTCTGGCTCCGCTGCGATTCCAGGGCATCAGATCGGAGCAGACGGCGGTTCAACATCGAGATGTTGTTCTGGCCTATATGAAAGTGCTGGGGTTAAGACTAAATGCCAGGAAAAGTGTGCTTTCTCCAGTACAGAGAACCACTTATCTGGGCGTGGTGTGGGATTATACCTTGATGCAGGCACAGTTGTCTCCTGCTTGGATCGGTTCAATCCTCACGGCAGTCGCTAAAGTGAGAGAAGGCCGGTCACTCACTGTCAAGCAGTTTCGAAAACTGCTGGGTCTGATGGCAGCTGCGTCCAACGTGATACGTTTTGGCCTGCTGTACATGAGACCCCTACAGGGGTGTCTCAAGACCAAGGGGTTTTCCCCCGAGGGGAAATCTGCTTCGCATAATCAAGGTCACGTGGCGATGCCTTAGACATATGGAGGAAGCCTTTGTTCTTGTACGGTTCTTGGTTCCGCATACGCTAGCGACAGACGTGTCCCTCACTGGTTGGGAAGCGGTCATGAGTGGCCGCTCAGCCCGCAGTCTGTGGAGTGCCCGCCATCTTTCATGGCACATCAACTGCCTGGAGATGCTGGCCATGTTTCTAGCATTGAAATACTTTCTCCCAGACCTAAGAGATTGCCATGTGTTGGTGCGCACCGACAACACAGCAGTGGTCTCTTACATCAACCACCAAGAAGGTCTGTGTTCACACCCCCATTTACAGGCTGGCGCACCAGATTCTTGTGTGGTCCCAGGTGAAACTCCTCTCGCTGAGAACAGTTCACATCTCTGGGCATCTCAATATGGGAGAAGACGTCCTGTCGAGGCAGGTGTCCCGAGGCCCGGGGAATGGAGTCTTCACCCCTCAGATTTGGAGAGTTTTTGGCCAGGCTCAGGTGGACCTGTTTGCAACTCAGTAGATATTGCACTGTCCCCTCTGGTTCTCTCTGACTCATCCAGCTCCTCTCGGACTGGACGCTATGGTACAGACTTGGCTGAGGCTTCGTCTGTACACCTTTCCCCCGATTGCTCTGCTCCCGGGAGTTCTGGAGAGAGTGCGCCGGGACGGGGTCCGTCTACTGCTAGTGGCCCTGTTCTGGCTGGGCTGAGTATGGTTCTCGGACCTGGTGTCCCTTCTTGATGGCTCTCCATGGGAGATTCCCGTCAGGAGGGACCTCCTCTCTCAGGCTGAGGCCACTATCTTTCACCCCCGCCCAGAGTTGTGGAAGATGTGGGTGTGGCCCCTGAGGGGGCACAGCTCATAGCTTCTGGTCTCTCAGCTGAGGTTGTTGAGACCATCCTCCAGTCCAGAGCTCCGTCTACGAGGAAACTGTATGCCTTGAAGTGGAAACTTTTCACTTCTGGGTGCGGAGACCGCCAGCTCGATCCAGTTACCTGCCCGGTTGGTATAGTGCTGGTGTTCCTGCAGGTAGAGGGACCTCCTCTCTCAGGCTGAGGCCACTATCTTTCACCCCCGCCCAGAGTTGTGGAAGATGTGGGTGTGGCCCCTGAGGGGGCACAGCTCATAGCTTCTGGTCTCTCAGCTGAGGTTGTTGAGACCATCCTCCAGTCCAGAGCTCCGTCTACGAGGAAACTGTATGCCTTGAAGTGGAAACTTTTCACTTCTGGGTGCGGAGACCGCCAGCTCGATCCAGTTACCTGCCCGGTTGGTATAGTGCTGGTGTTCCTGCAGGTCCGATTCTCCACAGGGTTAAACCACTCCACCTTGAAGGTCTACGTGGCGGCCATTGCGGCCTACCACGCCCCTCTTGGTGGTCAGTCAGTGGGCAGACACACCCTGGTTACACATTTCCTCCGCAGTGCACTGAGGTTGAGGCCTCCGGTACGATCTCGTGGCCAGCCCTCGGACTTGGCTGTGGTGCTAGAGGCTCTCTGTAAACCTCCTTTCGAGCCTAATGAGGAGATATCGGATTGTCATCTCACTATAAAGACTACCTTCCTTCTGGCTATTTCTTCTCTCAGAGAGTTGGTGATTTGCAGGCCCTGTCAGTGGCCCCTTCCTATCTAGACTTTGCGCCAGGCTTGGCCAAAGCCTTTCTCTACCCTAGTTTGGGTTATGTACCTAAAGTCCCCTCCTCTGCACCACGGCCTGTTGTACTACAGGCCTTCTATCCTCCTCCTTTCTGGGAGCCTGACCAGCAGAAGCTTAACTGTATGTGTCTGTGGAGAAGGTCGGACCAACTGCTAGTATGCTATGGTCCCCCCAAGAAGGGTCTTCCTGCATCTAAACAGACCCTCAGCCGGTGGATCTTCGATGCCATCTGCCTAGCCTACCGGTCCTTTGATCTCCCCTCACCCTTAGGGGTCAAGGCTCATTCTACAAGAAGTGTGGCGGCCTCCAAGGCCTTTCTGTCAGGTGTTGCTATGCAGGACATCTGCAACGCTGCGGGTTGGTCCACGCCCCTCACCTTTGTGAGGTTCTATGACCTCGATATCCGTGCCGCTCCCGGCTCCTCTGTTCTCTCACCTTAGTCGTGCTCTTCCACACTAGGCAGGGATTTGAAAGTCTGGCGGCGTGGGCATACTCGTTCCCATAGCTTTTCGACGCAGCTCAAGTTCCTGAAGGGGAACGTCTCCAGGTTACGCATGTAACCATGGTTTCCCGAGGCAACGAGACGCTGCACCTCATTGACATACTTCCGGCATCCCTGCGAGCGCTTCACCTCATTTATCAGAAGCTGCTGCTGTTTCCACGGCACATGCTTTTAAGCTTCCTGGTCTCTACGTCACCCCCCCAGTGACGTCTCGCCCATCCATTGGACTGATTCAGAGCGTGGTCACGCTGAAGGCATTCCCATAGCGTTTCGACGCAGCATCTCGTTCCCTCGGGGAACCATGGTTACATGCATAACCTGGAGACGTTTTTCAGCATTTGTTTATTTTGAACCCTTTCCAACAATGACTGTATGATTTTGAGATCCATCTTTTCACACTGAGGACAACTGAGGGACTCATAGGCAACTATTACAGAAGGTTCAAATGCTCACTGATGCTCCAGAAGGAAAAAACATGCATTAAGAACCGGGGGGTGAAAACGTCTTGAATTTGAAGATCAGGGTAAATTTAACTTATCTCGTCTTCTGAGAAACATGTAACTATCTTCTGTAGCTTCTGAAGGGCAGTACTAAATGAAAAAATATATACGATATTTAGGCAAAATAAGAAAAATTTACACATCTTCATTCTGTTCAAAAGTTTACACCGTTATGCTTAATGCACCGTTTTTCCCTTCTGGAGCATCAGTGAGCATTTGAACCTTCTGTAATAGTTGCATATGAGTCCCTCAATTGTCCTCAGTGTGAAAGGTGGATCGTAAAATCATACAGTCATTGTTGCAAAGGGTTCAAATACACAAAAATGCTGTAAAACCAAAGAATTTGTGGGTCTTGAAGAATTTTTTTGAAGAACAGCAGGCAGGTTAACTCTTCAGGACAAACAAGGGACTCATGAACAACTATCACTAAACAAAAAAAAACACAGCTGAGGATCATTCATGTAACAACACAGTATTGAGAATTAAGTGTATGTAAACTTTTGAACGGGGTCATTTTTATAAATTCAACTATTATTTTCTCTTGTGGACTATATGTAAACATATTTTATGTGAAACATATTATTCAGGTCAGTACTAAATAAAAAATAACATTCATATTGTATGATCCCTCATATTTTGGTAAAATAATTTACATTTTGCAGATTCCGCAAGGTGTATGTAAACTTTTGACCTCAACTGTATTTACCAGTTGTAAACATATGTGTACTATCTATAAATCAGTATGTTAGGGGAAAAAAACTTCTCTGAAGAACACTGGGTCTTAATATGAACATAAGGTAATGTAAAAGTTACTTACAAAAATAACCTAGAACACCTCCTCCATCGTTTCCCTTCTTATGGCTTTCTTTGGCTTTTTCTGCCTCTTCATGAGTAGTATCTTCTTCCTTTTCCTCTTCCTGTCTGACTAACCCCTCAGACGTTCTCTGCTCTTCATTTATTGATGTTCCTTCTTCTGCATCATCAAATATCTCACATCTGAGAAACTCTCCATATTTTTGCGTTATCTTCTCCACTCTTTGAATGATCTCTGAGTGACATTCTGGTTTTGTTTGATCAAACTGGAGATGTCCTCCTCCACATTCCTTTATCAATTGATGCATATCATCAGTCTTTATCGCTGAAGCCAGTGGGGAGCTTGGTGTCTCTGTATCAGTGGTCAGCACCATTGTGTGCTTAATCGCGTTCTCACTGAAATATTCTAGCAAAGATTTAACTTCCTCTATATTATCCTTGCCAAAGTAATTATGCTGCAGTACAAGTATGATCACATGAGGTCCTGGATCAGACAAACACACACACTCTCTCACTCGCTGAGTGACCTGACGGTATGGGAGATTTGTCTGTAGTAGGTGAGGACTGTTGATGACTGTGATGTTTCTGTAATCCAGTTGTCTTCTACTCTTGGTGAGCTGCTCTACATCAGCTGGAGGTGTTTCACTCTCATCTATTCTCAGGAGAAAGTTTCTAACTCTGGTGTTTGCTAGTGCATCCTTCCCCAGCAAGACAATTCTCAGCTCACCCACTAAAACACAGAACAAACACACACCATGCAATAGGGTTGTCAAAAAGTACCAACTTCGGTACCAGTCGGTACCAAAATGTAAAAAATGAGACGATTCCAGTATTCCCCTCTAGAATTCGTAGTGCTGCTGATCAGATCCTTAAAAACTGTTGATGGGCCGCTGTGCTCACGTGGCAGTCTATGAGCAGATATATTAGGCATCCACTGACGGATCCGCTGATAGACGCGGTGAAGAGCAATGATCATTGTAGCCAATCACAGACATATCCATTGAGCATATGAACACAGTGGCCAATCAACGGTGTTTAAGGATCCGCTCAGCAGCGCTCAAATTCTAGCGGGAAATATATGGAGCTTATAATATGACAAAACTATTTGAATTTGTATTGTATACATTTTAATTATTGACAAGTGGCATTTATCAAAACTGAATATTATGTGGCATGGTTCTGAATTAGATTTTTATTTTTTACTTGAATATTGAACATTTGAAATTCAACTGATTTTTTTTATAGCAGAGTTTTATAGAAATGTATTTTCAAACAGCTAATTTTTTGTTCTGAATTATTTGACTGCAAATATCCAGTTTTTAAAAATACAGCTTCAAGTTTTCAAGATGAAGAGGAAATTCGGAAAATCTAATTCAATATTCTAAAACTCAATATGCAGAATTTCAGATCGTTCAGAAAGTAGGGCAGATGATCTCCCGAAAAGTCAAATGAAGCATTTTGGGCAATTAATAGTTTTCTGGCGTTCAGATCAGGTTGATCTACCTGATCATGAATTGCCCAGAGGTATCCTAATTAATTCTTAAAGGGGTGGTTCACTGGGTTTTTTCTAGGCTTGATTGTGTTTATGGGGTGCAGTCTAACATGTGTTAATTCTTCGTAAAAAAAATAAAAAAAAAGCGCATTCTTTTTCACATAATTTATCTTTCCACACAGCTCTGTCCCTTCTCTGAGAAACAGTCTGATCTTTTCCTGTTTTTATGAAGCCCCGCCCTCAGAAATAGGCGATGGGCTCTGATTGGTTAGCTAGCCCAGTGTGTTGTGATTGGCTAAACCGCCTCTAGTGCGCGTCTAAACGTCCCGCCCTTCACCTCAGCGGCATGTGCTCCGGTTGTATTGTAAACAACGGCATCGTTAATATCGCTTATCAGTTTCAGCCCGATTGAGAAGCAGAGGATATTAGTGAAGAGGATCGTGCAGAACCTGTGCAAACACGGCTTTTAATGGTAGGCCTATGTTTTTTGTTTGTTGTTGTCTCATACTTTTAGATATGCTGTTGTAAATGCTACTGCTTACGTTAGCTTTTAATATACAGTTTTATCTTGATTAAAGCTTTAATACAGCAACCGCATGTGCGTCCATGTTTAATGCTTCTCATAGCTATGTGAAAATAAGTGTAAAATTGGAACAGTTCATTGTCAGAGCTGAGGTCAATGAGAGAGAGAGAGAGAGAGATGCAGAGTGTGTGCAGAGCAGGGGAACGCGAGGAACAGTATTAAGAACCGCTGCTTTAGAACATTGATTTTGAAACTTGTGAATCCATTAGAATCGTTAGAAGACAGAATCGTGATTCATATATGAATAGATTTTTACATGCACCTCTAGTTTTCTCTTCCTCTTCTCTAAAGCAGCGCAGGCCTCGCCCCTTTGCTGCCTTTTCCCGAGTTTGTGATGTCACGAACCCGGGAAGTAACTCGTTGTAGTCCCTACCAGCCGTTTTTGTTGGCATTAAACTGCCAGAATTTTAAAAGATGATATCTCCGTTTGCATTGAACTTTCAGCTTCGTAACTTTGCAGATATTGTTTATGCTCAGACAGCAACATTACACACTAACTAAAGTTAAAAAGTGAAATCGCAATCAACCACCCCTTTAAACATATGGTTTATATGTATATGTTAAGTTAGGGTTCTCAGCATGTGATATTTGTCTAAGCCAGTGGTTCTCAACCTTTTTTACTCCAAGGCTTCGCAAAAATTTCACTGCAGATATTCTTTACAACTTAAAAGTACTTAAAAGTACGTAAACCTCAATTATACAGTAACTTTAACAAATAAGCACAAGTCAACCTGCCATACCAAACAAGACCACAGGGAGATACCAAAGGAATGCATACATTAATCCATGCAGAATAACTAATCACACCAAAATACAAATGGAAAATGAGACCATTCTGAATGTGTGGAGACTCAGCGATCGTAAGGCGGGTCGATGTCATCAGTGAATATTTCCTCTATCAGAATAAGCGAATTTGAAGCGTTTGATGCCCATATGTACATAAACACCACTGATCCTCAGATACTTCTTCAAAACACGCTTCTTCGGCGAGCATCCGTAATAAAAACTTGCGGTACATCAATTTGGACAACTTCATTAATATAAAGAACTGTGTTCAAGCAGTATATGATGTTATAGTGATCTGTGCGCCATGAGCACACATACATACATGGTTTGTTTGCGCATCAATAATAACAATGGACACATGCATGCCTAATGTATGACTCCTGTATGTCACTATAATAGTCTTTACTTTGACTACAACCATCATCCATTAAAACGTTACTAGAGCGACACGACACTGGCTTGCTTTATATAAAGCCAAGAGCTGTAGTTTGCGTATTATTTGCTCATACAGCGGTCGGGTGTTTTGTACGGAGCCCCGCACATGGCATGCAGGAAAAAAATAGTAGGCTAAATCGTGTGCACGATTTACTATATCGTTCCCTCGATTTATAAATTGTGCGCACGATTTACTAATTCGTTCCCTCGATTAGCTAAATCGTGCACACGATTTATAAATCGAGGGAACAAATTAGTAAATCGTGCGCACGATTTATTCATATTTTCTTGCATGTCATGTGCGGGGCTCCGTAGTTTTGAGTCGCTGTTCAGTCTGTATTTCACACAGGTCGATGAGAAATGGCTTCAGCTGCTCTGAAACAGTTATGTATGACACTAACACCATGTCTAGACTGGACGCGAGCAGTGAGACGTGTCGCAACAAAAGACAGCAGAACCTATTTATTATAATCAATAATGTCTACACTGGATGCGAAATTCCCAACAGCAAACGGATTCCCCGTTATTCCTGACATAGTCCAAGCTCTTTGCAATGGCCGCTTTGTCGCTTCAAGCAGTCGTGTCCGTATAGTGTTGCACCACGCCGCATCCAGTGTAGGAAATATCACTGATTATAATCAATGGGCTCTTGGCTACTGTCTTTTTTGATTTCGCTCGCGTTCCTGTGTAGACACGGTGGCATGCTAATCACTTTCACACCAAATATACTTTAAAACAAACACCAGAGACGCTTAGATAAATGTTTCACATGCTGAGAACGATAACCTAACATATAGGCCTAAATATAAACCACAAATATTTAAGAATCACTTAGGATACCTCTTCAATAAAAAAAAAATATTAGCCTATGTAAAAACAAACTTACTGAAGACAGGTAAACAGTCATGAATTACAATAGAACAAAGAAATTGACTTACAAACACTTAAAGCACTGAATAAGAAATATATTGTATAAAATAAATAGACTACAAATAGACTGAATAGTCTTCACTGTATAAATTCAATATACATTATTTTACAAATATAAATTTATTTTACAGTGATTTTCTTTCTGTTGTTTAATTTACATTATTGACACAAATGGCAAGAGCAGCTATATTAGGCTGCTTTGGAGGAATAGTTCACACAAAAATTAAAGTTATATTGTTGTTGTTCTAAACCTGACTGAGTTTCCTTCTGCTGTTGAATGCAAACGTATGTATTTGGAACAATACTGGTAACCAGGGTGCGAACTACAGGGGAGCTAGGGGCAGCTCGGCTCCCCTTAATAAGACATGGGCTCCCCTGGTAACCAAACACTGTCTGTGCCCCCATGACTTCCATAGTATGGAGAGAGAGAAAATGAACTAGCTGTGGATTATAGTGACTAACTCATGTTTTCCCCTCTCTCCTCATTTTTTTCTCTCACTATTTTTTTTTTTTTTTAGAATAGTTGACATTTTTACTTATCTAAGATTGTTCTTTGCATGACTGTTTCTAGATTACACCAGAATGAAGTGAAGAGAGGTGAATGCAGACATTAGGCGCAGCGATCACCTGATAGATAGGCTACGTGCACAGTTTGTTCAAAAGTAAAATATATAATAAATGCATTTGATTGGTAAAACAAATTCAAATGTGACGTTTTAATCTCTAATGGCAATGCATGGAATTTACGGAAAAACTCCACTAAATAATAGCGCTAAAAAGTGAGGGGCGTGGTGGGTTTTTGGCGATCGGCGCTACCGATGTCCGTCAAGCTACTCCACAGCCAATCACGGGCCCCCTCCTTGCTCGGGCCCCGGGGCTTCAGCCCCGCCTAGCCCAATGGTTATTGCGGCCCTGTCAAGGGCACCTCAGTCATGGTATGGTGGAAGAGAGCGCTGTACATTCACTCCCCTCACCTACTAGACTCGAACCCGCAACCTTCGGGTTACTATTCAGACTCTCTAACCATTAGGCCACGACTTCCCCACTTATAGCTGCCATGCACTCATAATTAAAATGGGTTCATAAATAAACTTACAGTTTGGGCGTTCCCCAGTTATACTTCCCCGCCTTGTGCTCACTGAAAATATAATAAATAGGCAACATAGGAGAAACAGACTCCACGACAAATCACAGTAACCAAGCAATATAGAAACACAAATGGTTGATTTAAAGTCTGTGATTATTTTTTGTAATTGCAAGACTTACGTATGTTCGTCTCTTTTTCCCTCCTCCTCCTCGCATAATCCTTCGTGACTTCTAGACAAAACCAACCAAAAGCATAAAAATAAACTTAAACAAATGCCAAACACAAACCAAACTGAAACCCTTAAAAGTATTATATTAGAAAAAGCAACAATGTGATTTATTTATTTATTTTTTACCCATTCTGGACGTTATTTCATCGCCACCACATTCAGTTGTTTAAATCGAAAGAGAAACTTGCAGGAGCACAACTAAGAACACACGTAGGCTACTGCACTAAGCCTCACTCAGTGTTGCCAGGTCCGCGGTTTTCCCGCGAAATTGTGCTACTGTTGTGATGTCCACATGTTTTTGTTGAAGAAATTATAGAGGGTGTAGCATTTCTATTGCAAAAAGGTGGCCAAAAATGAAAGATTAAGTGAATATTTGAATTAGCCTAAATGTTTGGTCGATATTAAACAAGGATTTGATCGTCCTGTAAGTGTAACCGCAGCAATTACCAGGCCGTTGGCGCCCTTTGCAGGCATTTGTCATAATATGTAATGTACATAAATTGTTTATTTTGTATTACATTATGTATTTTAACAGTGTTATTCAATGAAACAATATAATTATTAATTAACCAATCATCAGTGCCTCATTGTTTTTATATAATGCATTTTAAGTAATTTTAAAGGTTGTTGTTGGTCTGTTTTCATAACCACCAATATATATATATATATATATATATATATATATATATATATATATATATATATATATATATATATATATATATATATAATATATCAGGGACGTGCAGAGAGTTCCTCAAGGACAGGGGCTCAAATTTAAAATAGGGGCAATGTATATATATAAAAAATTAAATAAATTATGTATATTTATATAGCTCAAAAGTTTGGATACATTACTATTTTATATTTTTGCAAGAAGTCACTTCTTTATGGTCATTAAGCCTGCATTTATTTGATCAAAATGTTTAATATACTTTTCAAAATATACGTTTTATGTCATGCTGATTTATTATCAATGTTGGAAACCTGTAATACTTTTTCAGGATTCTTTGATGAATAAAAAGTTTAAAAAAGAACAGTATTTATTTAAAATATAACTTTTGTAACAATATACACTATCATTCAAAAGCTTGAGGTCAGTATTTTTTTTTTAAAGGAATTTGTTTTTATTCAGCAAGGATTTGTTAAATTGATAGAAACAGTGATTGTCAAGATTGATATTGTTAGAAAACATCAATTTTTTTAATAAATGCTGTTCTTTTCATTTATCAATGAACCCCAAAAAATTATCACAGGTAAAGAAATAAAAATAAGCAGCACAACTGTTTCCAGCACTGATAATAAATCAGCATATTATACTGATTTCTGAAGGATCATGTGACACTGAAGACTGGAGTAATGATGCTGAAAATACAGCGCTGCGTCACAGAAATAAATTATATTTTAAAGTATATTAAAATAGAAAAACATTCTTTTAAATTGTAATAATATTTCACAATATTGCCGTTTTTTCTGTATTTTTGATAAATAAATGCAGGCTTGATGAGCATAAGACACTTTCATAATGCTGCATAACGTCACCATTTCGCCAGCCTACACTTCACATAACAGGCCTGTAGGTGGCCCTTATGCTTCATTAACTATGATAGTTTCATGAAATAGTAAACGGTGTACCATACATAAATATAACAGAATTGAATACTGATTACCATTATTGCGACTTTTGGCGCTGCACGGTTTTGTGCAGTGCTTTTGTAGTCATTTAGCATCCATTTTCTCAGAGATGTAATTTGATTTATAAAATGAGATCGCTCCACAAATGTAAGCTCGTCTGTCCATGTAATTTTCAACCGATTTATGAATAAGAATGGAAAATGACCGCTCCACTTTACATTATTGCCCAATTAAATTTTAACTTGTACCAGATCATGATTGGTTGGTGTATAATACATGACAAACGGGCATTGATGAATTATGTAATATTCTAAAATAATTAAATCGACACACTATTTACACACACTAGCTTTTATTGATGAAAAAAAAAAAAAAAAAAAAAAAAAAAAAAATATTTTAATATATAATTAATTTTTTTTATTTATTCCTGTGATGGTAAAGCTGAATTTTCAGCAGCCATTACTCCAGACTTCAGGGTTAAATGATCCTTCAGAAATTATACTAATATTGTGACCAGCAGAACAGCAATCATTTGAAATAGAAATTTTTTGTAACATTATAAAATTTTTCCTTTCTGCGACCCACTCACTGACATGAGAAGGTTTCCGAACAGACTGTGGAATATCCGCCATATATCACCATAGCAACGCCTCAGATTGACAGCGGGCGCTGATGTGGGAATGTCGTCACGTGACACGTACGTGTGCTTAGCCTGCCTACTGCGTTCACCGTAAAAAGTATTTTTTTTATAATGATACATATATATATATATATATATATATACACCCACAAGAGGGCGCATCGAGTATAAGATAGCATGACTATCTGTGAAAAAAAGTGCATAATGCTTAAAATAATGTTTATAAACCAATTATAATTAATTAAGTTGCTTAAACAACTATAAACAAAACAGCATCATGTATGTATGCATAGTTTAATACAAAGGGCCGAAAACCAATCACACAGAGTACATTTTTCATTTAAAAACAAGAGTTGCAGTGGGATGGGAAAAAAACCCGCCATAAAGTCTCGAGATATGTTTTTTTCATATTTTTTCAACTTGCATAAATTTTACATGGCTTTCTAAATATGTGGTTCTCTTGTGCGAGACGCAAGTGCAAAGGTGATAGATGTCCCTCTAGAAATTGCAATATGCGTTGTGTGAACGGCTTGGTTTCAGTTTTGACGTAAAAAAGATCTTCTCCGCATTGATGTTCTCTTTTCCCGCAATATTTGTAATCAACAACGCAGCAGCGCAGCATCTAGTGGCTTCAACTGGATAAGCTAACAAAAACATTATAATGCAATGACACTTACATCGTCATCGCATCTCGTGATAAGGCTGCCTCCTTAATGCACACCTAAAATTCGAAAGCAACGCTTTTGCATTCGAATGTGGATTTTTATTTTAAATTCGACGAATATTCGAAATTCAAATTTTTTGTTGACAGCCCTAGTAGGCCCCCCTGGGAGATGGTGCCCTACGCAAACTGCATACTCTACATATAGGGAGTGGCGGTACTGATTTTACATATATTTTACCCCCTGGAACAAGATTGGGCTAGTTTTGAGTAGCAACTGGGTGGGTTTTGTTGTGAAAACCTGGCAACCCTGGCCCCACTACGGAAACAGCATTCTATACAATCATATTTCAGCCAATCGCTGACATCATCTGTTGCCAGGATGAAATAAATCTGCCTTGAAGTCTTCAGAATCAACAGTGCGGGCCCCTGTAGCTTAAAATAAATGGCAATAGGCTCGTTTGACATGCAGCAATATCTGCACAGAACCGATCACCGCAAGATGCATGCCGGTTAGAAATGTTTCCGAGGGCGGTCCGCCTTGCAATCAGCCGACGTATGCCAAATATCTCTCGTGACAGCGAGTCAACCGTGCAGTCGAGCGCAGTTGCTCTTCTCCAGCTGCGCTGACCAAAAGCATGATGGGAAACGACTTGCTGATGACACAGCTTAATGCTTATTGGTTCAGCCAACCATGATGTTGCATTATCTTCTAAAATATATATTTTTTTTATCTGATATCATGTGATTATGTATTTAAATTATACGTGAATATTCCCTAACACTAGAAGATACTTCTTTTAAAAAACATTAAAAATCTTACTGATCTAAAATTTCTGAAAGTAAAGAGTGGTGGAACTATGACGACAATTTGTAGGCGTCACACTGGGTCCCTTGACGAAAAGCCAATAGGATTTTTCCATAGGTTTTTGGATTATCACAAAAGTAAGCTCTGTGTTCAACCATAGTTAATGAAATTTACACGCGGGGCGCCACTGTGGGGGAGGTGGGGGTGGGATGTGAGTTAGGACGATTCTAAGGGCCCATGCACTTTTGGGGCCCCCAGAGAACTGTTTTATTAGTAGTAACAGTAGTAATAGTAATGTAATAGAAATTATAAATGTATCTACCAAAGAGTTACAAATAAATCAAAATTATGGCTTATTTCTGCATTTCCAGCAAAATTATCTCCCCCCATTCACTGCATGGGAATAGTGAATTGTTGAGATAGTGAATTGGTGGGTTTTTGTTAAATGTGAGCCAAAATCATCACAATTAAAAGAACCAAAGACTTAAACTACTTCAGTCTGTGTGCACTGAATTTATTTAATACACGCGTTTCACAATTTGAGTTGAATTACTGAAATAAATGAACTTTTCCACGACATTCTAATTTATTGAGATGCACCTGTACTTCTATGAAATTCATATTGAAGATTTTCCTACCAGATATTAAATAGACATTTAGTAATCGTATTTAAGATGTATATGGTTTAAAATGTATGTAAATCTACTTTGGAGATGCATGTGCGCTTCCTGGAGCCCCGTTAGCTATACATAATAAAACGTGCTTATATAGCAACATCACAACTATACTATACCATTTAGCATCTTTACACTTTCAACAAATGCAAATTTAAAATAAGGAACCATGTTTTTGGTTTGTAATACATTGTGACGAGCGTCCCGAAGCTTCATCAGCGTCGCCCTGGAAACAAGCAAGGCACACCTGGCCGTCCTCATCACAGGCTGATCGGTCACAGCTGCAGCTCATCAGGCGGCGGCCACATAAGCCATGCAAGCCCTGCCATCTAAGAGATTCCTCCATGAGACTGAGCACTAACTCGCCCTCTCATTTCTCCCACAGACAGTAGCGTGTGACCGACCAGCCCCACAGGAGCACTGCACGGACCCTCTGCACTGGGAAGACGGAAGAGAGCACTCACGGCACCGGAGCACCTACCTGGACCTTTCTCCCTATCACCCACCACACCAATAAGTCCACCCTCCGGGGTATTGATTGAGATTACTTGTCGTGTGATTCTTCACCCCGTTACAACGTACATTTGTAAACACCCTCATCCAAATTTTCCGCCATGTTCGATTATGATGCATCCTCTTCTTCTTTATGATGTATCCTCTCGCGTGACCTCCTGGGATAGAAAAGTATTAATCGACGAGCACTCAAAAAGCTGGGCAGAAGCAGTAGGACATCCGGGACCTTCTCGACTACTCTTTTAT